AGGACAATTCACTATCACGAACCTTTAAAAGGTTCAGTCAAAGTATGGTGATAGAGTCGTTGCGGAAATCAACAAAACTTTCAACGTCTTCCTGCTTAGCCGATTTTACAAACATTTTGAACTTGAACCTGACACCTAGACATCAATGATGGAGGCAGCATCCAACAATTCGCTCCAAATGGTCTATCTTGGAGGACCGTATAATAATATGGAATTTAAAGAAAATGCTTAAATATAAATGTTATTTATATGTATAAAAAAACTATTTTTTTATATTAATAGTAAAAAATGAAAAATTACAAATTTAAATATGAGTTTTAATTGTTTACCTATTTAATATAATAAAAAGTCATACATTTATTTTGGTATCAAAAAAATATATTTTCATTGTATAAAAATATCTATAAAATTGAAAAATTACAATCTTATTTTAATAATACTATATATAACAACAATAATAATAATAATACTTGTAATCATAATAGTTATAAAAATACTAATTATAATAATAATAATACTAGTAATAATAAGAATAAAGATCTTAACTAAAATCTCAAAAAGAAACAACTTAAATATATATATGAATATCACAAAAAAATGGTATATAAAAAAAATGATTAAAAAAAGGAATAAAAAAAATGATATTTTTAACATTATTTAAATTTTCTGAGGGAATCATGCCTGAATTTTTGTAGATTATTGTAAATATTTAAAATTTAATTGTCTAATTGTGCATTTATTTCTGTTTCTGTTTGTGGTAGTGTTTGTCGTGGTGGTGTTTGTCGTAATGGGCTTATTGGAGGTGCTGGTGGTGAAAGGTGTAATGGTACAACAAAATTTTGTACTTCCACTTTAGTAGGTGTTGGTGGTGTGCGTGGTGGTGTAAATCGTAAATTAAGTTTTGTTTTCTGTAATGTTTTTTTTGTTGGTACTTGTTTCTTTAAATTTTTCCGATTTGTTGTTGGTTTTGGTCTTTCAGGCTGTTTAAATTTTGTGAATGTTTTTATACTTGTAGTGCTTTCAGTTTTTGGTATTTGTTTTTTACTTAATTTTTGTTGTGTTGGCATTTGTTTTATTTGTGTTTCTGTTTGTTTTCTAGCCTTGATATTCGAGTATGTTTAATTATTTTAGGTTTTTGGTTTGGTTGTGCTGGAGTTTGTGTAATAGTCTTTGGTTTTGATTGAATTAGAGTTTGTCTATTTGTAATTGTCTTTGGTTTTGATTGTGTTGCAGTTTGTGTTTTTAATATTTTGTGTGCTACTGTCTCGTTTAGTTGTGTAGTCTGAGTTTGTGTATCTGTTAGTCTTTTAATGAAAATTAATTTTGTTGTGGAAGATCCTTTTGCGGAAGTAACAAATGATGATAATGTTTCACCAGGCATTCGATGTTGCACTTCCGTTGGGTACATTATTTTTGTTGTCTTGGGTGTGGCTATTTTTTTAAATTGCTTCTCATCCTGTTAACAAAAGAAATAAATTTTACAATACTGCATGTAAATGGAAAAAAGGTATTGTGGAAGCAGCTTAATGTTACAGTTAGAAACAACAAGAGTAAGAAATAAACAACTATGTGCGTACCCTAAGGAATACATAAAACTCAACTATTACATGTCATTTTAACTGTGCGTGTACCCTAAGGAATACTCAAAGCTCGGGTGATGCATGCCGTTAAGATGGATGTACAATTGTAAAGTCACGTAAAATTGATACGTGCTGATGTATGACGTCACATAGAACGTACACGTATGAACAGACCCACGGAAAAGCACCTTTATGAAAACATGTCGTGTGACGTCATACGTCCCACGTAGAACGTATTAGCATGTAAGTCACAGGTAGAGTTTGTTTAACCTTATTAATTTACATGTCATTTTAACTGTGCATGTACCCTAAGGAATACTCAAAGCTCGGCTGATGCATGCCGTTAAGATGGATGTACAATTGTAAAGTCACGTAAAATTGATACGTGGTGATGTATGACGTCACATAGAACGTACACGTATGAACAGGCCCACGGAGAAGCACCTTTATGAAAACATGTCGTGTGACGTCATACGTCCCACGCAAAACGTATCACGTATGAACGGGCCCATGGAGAAGCACCTTTATGAGAACGTGTCGCGTGACGTCATAGGCCTGCGTTCGAACGTGTCAATTGTAAACCCAACTTTACAACTGTGCGCATACACAGTTGAAACACTCACAGCTTGGTTGACTGCAACTGTGCGCGGACCCTTAAATGCTTTCTTACTCTCGTTGTACCTTTAGAATACATGGAAACTAAATAATATGTTTTTTTCTTATAGGCTAATAGAAATATAAATGATTAAAGTTTAATTTAAGAAAATAAATATTAATAATAACATTTTTAATTAAAAAATGTAATAATATAATTAAAAAATTTTTTTACTTGTATCTTTGTGTGAACTCGCGCCCAATGGTATGAATTTATAAATTCAGGCATGATCCTGAAGTCAGGCACAACCGGGACTTTTGAAATGTACGGTCCAATCTGAGATTGCCGCATTTCTTGTGGAATCTAAAATATTTAATAGAATTAATTAATTAACAATTATTTACTAATATTTATTAATAATTATTGTATAATTTTTAAAATATTATTATTATTGTATAAATTTATTTACATTTTATTATTATTATCATTATTATTATTATTATTATTTATTAACAATTATTTAACACAATACTTACTTCTCGAGCTCTTCTTTGAAATTCACGTCTCATGGTATCAATTTTTAACAAATTCGCATCATGCGTGAATTGTGGTAATGGTAAATACATTACCCTTCTTAAATTACTATTTATCCTAGGATCTTTTAATTTTTTATTACATTCTCATCACATGAGAAGGTATTATAATTGGTCGAAAATTGACTTTTACTATTTTTATGAAATCTTTACGTTTTGAGGTGCCCTGAGTCGAAAAAACATGGTTTGGCGAAAGTGTCTGTCTGTGTGTCTGTATGTATGTATGTATGTATGTATGTATGTATGTATGTATGTACGTATGTAGACACAAAATGTTGTTGACACAATAACTTTTGTAAATCGAAACAAATCGTTTTGCAATTTTGCATACACAAAGTTAGTATCAAAATACAGGTTAAGTTCGTTAGCCAGCCATTTTCATCAAAAAATGCAAAAAGTGCGGGATTTTCAAAATTTTAAAATTTAATTTTTTTTTAAAAAATTTTTTTTCACTACACAGCATTACAGTCCAGGAAAAAGAAAACATTTTTTTTCCTTAAAATTTTTTGATTAAATTAAAATTGTAAAAGTTACAGTGGTTTAATTGTCGAAAAACACCTAAAAAAAGCCAAAAAAGACATTTTTTATGAAAAATTAAATTTTATTAATGAGGTGAAAAAAATCAGTCCATAAAATAGACACATTCTCATCATAATAGACTCAAAAACTATATGATACAAGTGAAAAAAATATCAATTTAGAAAAAAACCACTCTATATACATATTATTTATATATTTTTACACAAAAATCAGAATTTCTGACTTAATTATCTTGTAATGTATTCATCTTGGCATAATGACCCCAGAGACTTTTTTCTACAAAATTTTATCAGCTACAACTTTGCCATTAAACATTATTCTCTATCTCTTTACATTTTTAAGATTTTAATGAAAAAAGCATTTATTTTTACATTCTCATCACATGAGAAGGTATTATAATTGGTCGAAAATTGACTTTTACTATTTTTATGAAATCTTTACGTCTGTCTGTGTATATGTATGTTTGTATTTTTGTACGTACGTATATAGACATAAAATGTTGTTGACAAAATTACTTTTATAAATCGAAACAAATAGATTTGCAATTTTGCACACACAACAGTCACAAAGTCGCAAACAAATACACTTGAATGTACCTGTACAGGTTCATGTACTTTGTTCCAATTCTTTTTACAGGTTCGTTTTCTGCTCTTGTACAAGATCACGCGAATGTGCAAGTACTTGAACTTGAATAAAAAAATGTACATGATATTGTACAAGATTTTTCAACTGGGAATAGTATATATAACCCTTACTTTTATGTATAACAAGCTTGAAGTAAATAAAATAAATTGTTCAATTAAAAAAACTATTTGAAAAAAATAATGGAGATTAGATACTAACCCCTTAAATGTATTCGTTTACTCAAATGTTTCATATATTTAAATAATGAAAAATCCAAATACTCAAAAAACTTGCTAGACAGGCTGCTACACCACCGCGACTGTAGCGCCACCGTGGTGACAAAGGGAAATATAATCGATATGTTAAGGTGACAATCGATACAGTGATCAATATGACCGCAGCGCCACCCCGGAAACGTGGTGATGAAGTGTAATATAATCGATACAGCAATCGATATGACCGCAGCGCCACCCCGGAAACGTGGTGATGAAGTGTAATATAATCGATACAGCAATCGATATGACTGCAGCACTCACCGAGGTGATCAAAAGAAACATAATCGATATATCATAATCGATATATCATAGTGATCAATAATGCAAGGTTACAATCTTAATTGTAAGTTTCAGTGTTAGCAGAAGTCAATGTTGTGATCTTTGTTTACAAGTGAATGAAATCAAAATAAGTGAAAATATATGATTCTAATAAATAATAATTCACTTAATTTTAAAAAATAATTAAAATTTTTTATAAAAGTGTTAATTATAAATTTAATTTTAAAAGTGATTTTAATTTGTTTTTTTAGAAATTTCAATATATAAAAAAAGAGAAAAGTCTTATAAATTATGATTTCTTTTTTTAAACAAATCAATTTAAAAAATATTTAATTGAAAAATAAAATAATTAATTAAAAAATAAAATTTTTATTTAATAACTATTTGAAATATTTTTTTTTACAAAGTTTAAAAAAATAATATGTAAAATTATTTATTTTTCTTAAAATTAATTTTTTTTCTTTTTTTTTTAAACATATAAATTTTTAAAATTTTCTTGGTTTCGCAGGTGATGATGGCTTCTATGATGATGGTGATGTCTGTGATGGTGGTTTCTGTGATGGTGATGTCTGTGGCAACTACATTGATGTCTATGTCAACGATGACACCGTCTACATTTACATCGATGACTCCTAACATGTCGTCTTCCTTCGTGAATTTGATTTTCTGCAGATGGTGACGGTGTTTGTTGATTTGGCCGTACAGATTCTGTAGATGGTTGAGGATCCCTGTTTTGCTCTCGCAAAACATTCTCTGCTGCAAATTGTTCCAACTGAAAAATATTAAATAAGTTTAAAATTTTATATTTAATAAAACTAAAAATTTTTTAATTTTTTTTTTCAAAAAAAATTCTAATAATTTTTTTTAATTGTGTCAGGAAATATTTACATCATCTGTCTGTGTTGCCGAGTTTCGAATCCAGACAACATTTTCAAAACTTGGACCCAGGATACCACCACCGACATCCTCATCGTCATCATCTACATAGTCATAATCTCCAAGGGTGTAGTACCCTGGACTCCAAATATCTCTCTCCTCCATATCATTATCAGAAGAGGATAGAACTATTGTATCCGCTTGGTTATCTTCGGAGGTTAATATTATGGTGTCTGCTTGGCTGCTTGGCTGCTCGGCTGCTTTCTCCATTGTCGCTCTGCTATTTTTTAATACCTTGAGCCACTTATATATACACGTATCCCCTCCACGTACAAAACCCCCCTTACCCTTTCAGAGTACAGAACAACAGTAGGTCCAACTACACGTGTAGTCTGTGGGGAATATCTGTGGGGAGAGCTTTATCTTTCCCCCCACTTTACATCGTGATGGGCTGACGCGAACCTTGACAACCGTTGCTAGGGAGTCAGGTTGCCGTAGATGGTTAGAGTAGTACGCATAGAGTAATTGAGTAAATAACATAGTTTTATCCACGTGCTATCAAAATGTCTTGTAGTTACAAATAAATTCTTATATTTATTATTATAAATATGGACTAATGTTATTTAATTTCTCTTAATATATTTATATGGTTTGGAGAACCATAATATGAAATATCAAGTAAAATCTCCACATTGGTGACCCCGACAGTCGAGAACACGTTTTTATAAATTCATGGAAATTGTTGCCATCGTGTCGTGTACCTGTGCCAAATTTATCATCTGGATTATTTGGTTAAGTGATCGATGTGTTTTTCTATATATTTTCCAGTCAAAATTTATAAAAAGCTGGAATTTAATGTTCTAAATGTACTACAAATTTTAGCACGTGCTGTGAAAAAAGTGCCGCCATTTTTACCGGCAAATAACTTGAAAAAAGTTCACTGAAAATTAAATTTAATATTTTATGTGAACATTATTTATTGATATTCATCATTTGGACAATTTGGATGTCTGTTTCATTTGGAGCACTTTGATTTCGTGGACGACAATTTTTGTGCGGATGTGATGCCATGCTCTTTTCCCGCCAAGCATCCACTCGGTGAACGAGTTTTTGTCGCCCCTATCAATCCTTCCAGGAGACATCCTGTCATTTTTGGTTATTTTTTGGATTTCTTCAGCATCATTAAACGTCTTACCCAGGAATATTTTCCATGTCGACGCAATTTCAATGTTGAGAAATTACCGCCAAAAAAATTGATGGACGCCATATTTTTTTTTTCCTCTATGACGTATTTCTCTTTGGGATTTTCTTCGTATCGCCTCTACTACGCAGGATTTCCTCTCCTGTCAACACTTTTGGTCTATAGCAAATATACGTCATCATTTTTCAACGAAGGTTTAGAGTATACGGATCTAGCCGTAAGTCTATATATGTGTTCGTGATGTCAATGATATTGTGATCAAGTGTTGTCCAACGAATAAATCTACAGCTTATTATATTTTAACTTAAATCTGTTAAACCAAATTGTTAAATATTAAATTTAAACAATCTCTTAGTGTAATTTTTATAACCTGTTTATTTGTTTTCGAAAAATTTTATTAAATAAATATTAACTAAGTTTCATATCTTTTTCGAAAATTTTTCTACGAACATTGAAATTTCAAAATGCTTTACCATCAAATTAAATTCATTTTGATTTTATTAATGCTTGAATTTGCGTTATTTCATCTTTATATTTTCCTATATCTATTTCGAGAAATTTATTTAGTATATTTCATGATTTTCGAACTTAAGCGTTATGTGTAATCATTCAATGCTTTCACAAATTCAAAAACAAAAACATTGTACTTTCCGCGCGTGTTTGTGTGGATATGATTGATTGAGAATATTTTTCTTTCAATTCTTTATTTTCATGTTTAAAATCTAGGATTTTTATTTCATTGTGAAATTTTGTGTGGCTGTAGATTTTGACAGGAGTATTTTATTTTGTTCTGTTTTTTTTTTGTTTTCATGTTGAATTCTATGTTATTGACATTTTAATATTGTGACATTTGACAAATTTTTTTTTTTCATTTTATGGATCTTATTTTGGTGTTGCATTGAGATATTTAAATATTTTTTTGTCGTTTACTTATTTTGCGTGTATTCTAAATTAAAGTTTTTTTTTTCTTTTAGATTATAAAAAAGGAATTTATTTTATTTGATTTTTTTGAGGATATGTGGACCAGGATAACCGATTTTTAAATTAAATTTTTTTTTATTCACAGTCAAAATTTTTTTATTTAAAATTTTTTTTTTCTTTCTTCTCTCTTAAACAAAATTTTTTGTTATTTAAAATTTTTTTTTTTTTTTATAAATTTTTTATTGGTCGTGTTCAACGCGGTATTTGATTTATTTTATTTTTCTTCAATTTTTAACAAAAATGGAAGAACTCCAGGAAAAGGTTCGCCTTTTGACAGAACAACTCCAAGTAGCAAATGATGCTAATGCAGCTTTCGTTGCCAATGCAGTTCAAAATGAAAATGCAGTTCAACAAAATCTAGGAGATGTAAACAATCAACAAGTAAATCCGGACGTTCATGTTGACGCGGTTTACAATCGCCGAATTAGAGTCCCTAAATTTTACCAGAATAATCCTGTCATTTGGTTTAATGTTGTCGAGGCTGTTTTCCGAAATAACAATATTCGTTCCGAAAAGTCTCGGGCTGACACTGTGATTGCTGAACTCGATGCGGATGTTGCATTATCTATCGCCGATTTGTTAGCATTGGAAACCGTTCCTGCTGATATTTACCAACGCATTAAGAGTAGGCTTATTTCAACTTACTCAGCTTCTTCTGAAGCACAACTTAGGAAGTTGCTTAAGGGCGAAGTATTAAACTCTGGTAAACCATCGCATATGTTGTCTCGTTTACGCAATTTAAGCGGGGGCAAGTGTTCCGACGATATTCTCAAGACAATTTTTCTCGATCAATTGCCATCTCAATATCGGGCAATTTTAGCATCTTTACCATTCGATTCCCTAGATAACTTGGCTTTGTCAGCTGACAAAATAGCCGACGCAACCGACTCTTTGAGTAATCATGTAGCTTCAATTGATCCAACACCTACCGATAGTAAAGGTTTCGAAGCGAAATTGGATCAGATTACCGCGGAAATCGCATCGATAAAGTCGAAATTTGAAAATTTGGAAAATAATAATCATCGCTATTCGCAGCGTTCAAGGTCAAGATCTCGTCGCAACAATTCTCGTAGCCATTCTCGAGGTAATTTGTTTAATCGAGAGAAATCAGGTCTATGCTGGTACCATAAAAAATTTAAAAAGTCGGCGAAGGCATGCGTTGAACCTTGTAGTTGGGTAAACAAAGTCGAAAAAAAATCGGAAAACTAAATAAGCCGATCCGAGTTGAGACCATTGGTTCCGGCAATAAGTCCAAGCGTCTCCATGTAAGAGATCGCGAATCGGGTCTTACTTTTTTGATCGACACGGGAGCAGATGTTTCCTTGTTGCCCGCGTCACATTCACGTTCTCGTGAACCTACTGAATTTAATCTTTACGCAGCAAATAACTCTCGAATTCCCACATATGGAACCAAACATATGTCTCTCAACCTCGGTCTCAGGCGTGACTTGTCATGGGATTTTTGTGTTGCAGCAGTTCCGTACCCGATAATTGGGGCCGATCTGCTGGAGCATTATGGTTTGCTTGTGGACCTTCGTCACCGTAGACTTGTAGATTCTTTGACGAGTCTCTCAGTAGCATGTTCCATCAGGAAAGTTGAGGTTCATAGCGTGAGCTTGATAGATGAATCTTTGCCATTCGCAAATATTCTATCAGAATTTCCAGAGATTACAAGACCATCTCAAGGTTTAGAGGATTTGCCGGGAGACGTCCAACATCACATCGTCACAAAGGGTCCCCCAATTGCTGCTCGTGCTCGTCGTTTGACCGCTAAAAGAGAAAGTGAGGTTAAAGTCTATTTTCAATCAATGATCGCGCAGGGAAAATGTAGTTATTCAAAATCATCATGGGCTTCTCCCATTCATGTAGTCGAAAAAAAAGACGGTGGAATTAGAGTTTGCAGGGATTATCGTGGCGTCAATAATGTTACTGAGCCCGATCGCTATCCTGTCCCTCACCTGCACGATTTTTCGTCGAAACTTCACGGTAAAACGATTTTTACGAAATTGGATTTGCATCAAGCATACAATCAAATTCCGGTTAACCCAGATGATATTAAAAAAACCGCTGTTATAACGCCGTTTGGCTTATTTGAGTACAATGTAATGACATTTGGTTTGCGCAACGCAGGCCAAACTTTTCAGCGCTACATCTTTCAAGCGTTGGGTGACCTGGACTATGTTTTTGTGTATATAGATGATATACTCATAGCCTCTTCCTCTATAGTTGAGCATGAGTTGCATCTGCGCGAAGTATGCGATCGCTTAAAAAGGTTTCGTTTGCGATTGAACTTAGATAAATGTCTTTTTGGTAAGGATGAACTTGAGTTTTTGGGTCATATTGTCAACAGTGAGGGCATTCGTCCAACTCCTGAGAAAATTAAAGTTATTTCAGATTTTCCGCGTCCCAAGACTATCGTCGAATTACGCCGATTCTTGGGTCTCGCAAATTTTTATCGCCGAAGTATCAAACATGCCGCTCAAATCCAGGCTCCACTTAATCATTTCTTGCGAGATTCTCGCAAGAATGATAAGCGAATTGTACCTTGGGATTCCGTTTCCGAAGCAGCTTTTGAGCAGATCAAGAATGAGATAGCCAATGCTGCATTGTTATTTCATCCTTCATCTACTGCCGAGACACGCTTAATTACCGATGCGTCTAGCACTGGAATTGGCGCAGCTCTCGAGCAAAAATTCGGAAACGTTTGGAGACCACTTGCTTTTTTCTCCAAGAAACTGACACCTGCTCAATGCAATTATAGTGCTTATGATCGCGAATTGACGGCCATCTTTGAGGCGGTCAAATACTTTAAATATTTTCTAGGTCCTCACGATTTTAAAATTGTGACTGATCACAAACCTCTCGTTTACGCCTTCAAGCAGCGTCCTGAAAAAGCATCTCCACGTCAAATCGAACAATTGTCTTACATCTCACAATTTACCACCACTATTGAGCATATTTCTGGTGCGGAGAACGTTGTTGCTGACGCATTATCTCGTCTCGATGCTATTTTGTTCCCTTCGGAAATCACTCTTTCTGAGTTTGCTGAAGCTCAAAGTCAATGTCCAGAGTTGAAGGCTTACCTTGAAAATGAAAAAACATCATTAAACCTAAAAAAAATCATGTTTGGTCAGGGAAACGATTTTATATTTTGCGATCTGTCTGGTGAAGTTCTTCGACCTTTTGTTCCCGTTTCCTTACGTGAACGTGTTTTTCATTTGTTGCACTCTCCAGCACATCCAGGTGCCAAGGTCATGGATCGTATTATGCGAAAGCGTTATGTATGGCCCAACATGCATAAAGATATTTCCCAATTATGTAAAAATTGTCTGGATTGTCAACGATCTAAAATAACCAGACATGTCAGTTTGAAACCCTCGCATTTTGTGGCACCGGAATCAAGATTTCTTGATGTTCACATAGACATTGTTGGTCCTCTTCCCGTTGATTCTGGATTCAAATATTGTTTGACAATGATAGACCGATTTTCGCGGTGGCCGGAAGCCGTTCCCCTAAAGGACATCGAGGCAATCACTGTGGTCCGCGCGCTCATGGACAACTGGGTATCACGTTTTGGAACGCCTGAAACGATCACCACCGATCAGGGCAGCCAGTTTGAGTCTGCACTTTTCCAAGCGCTACTCAAATTCATCGGCTCCAAACGTATCCGCACCACTGCATACCACCCTGCCTCAAATGGCATTATTGAGCGATGGCATAGAACATTTAAAGCCGCTCTCATGTGTCATGCCACGTGCGAATGGTCACGCATTCTACCTACTGTTTTGTTAGGATTGAGATCCAACGTTTTGGACTGTGGTTCATCCCCTGCAGAATTTCTATACGGCACAACAATTCGAATTCCTGGTGAATTCGTCTTGAACGATGATTTTGCACCTAACCCACAAATTTTTCTGGAGGAATATCGAGAAATTATGAGGGAAGTTAAGCCCATTCCCGTTGAACACCGCCATAAAAGTCGAGCATTTGTTTTTAAGGATCTTTATTCATGTACGCACGTATTTCTTCGTGCAGGTCATATCAGAAAATCTCTCGAACCGCCTTATTCTGGTCCACATCGAATCATCAAAAGAATTACAGATCGTGTTTTTGAGATTCAGGTTAATGGAGTTTCTCGTAATGTTTCCGTTGAAATGCTCAAACCCGCATATTTTCTTCGAGAAGCAGAGGATGATAATGTAAAAAGAGTTCCGGAGAAATCACATGTAAAAAAGGGTTTGACCATTCAACCACCAAATCAACCAACTTTTTCTTCCAATGCAACACCAATTATCCCAATAACAAGTGATCCATCGAATGTAACTTTTAATAAATCTACTGTACTCAGAACTTATGCAAGAAAAAAGCAAGTAAATTTTAAAGTGTGAATTGAATGAGTGTGATCGCGTTGGATATATAGTATTATATGTACAGTATTTCTTGCCTTTCCAAAAATGTAGATAGCACGTTCTATTAGTTAGTTTTTTTTTGCGTTTTAAATAAAAAATATTTTTTATACATTTACTAAGATAAAAACTATGTATATAGATAGTTTATTTTTTTTTAGATAGGATATAAATTTTCCTCGTCAGTCCCATCGGTATTTATAAAAGTTATGTGATTATTAGATTTTATTATAAATTATAATTTTCATTTGAATCTGTAATATTATCAATATTTTATTATGATTATAAGTGTTATTTTTATATATATACAAATTTTTATTCATACTTTTAATTCTTATATCATTATCATTCGGGGGGGAATATGTGGGGAGAGCTTTATCTTTCCTCCCACTTTACATCGTGATGGGCTGACGCG